AACCTGGCTAACGGCATTGCCAGCGATTTGGCACTCGGGACCTAGGTTGTGTCTTGGCCACCTCGTCGTCGATTCCAATCAACGCCGGCGCATGCAAACAAAGTCCTGCGGGGCAACGGTTGAGCAGGCATACGGGGCACATGCCTGAGCCACATACCGCATGCAAAGTAATTACGCAGCTCGGTGGTTGGCGGAGACTGTCTGACTTGAAGATTCCATGTCGAGCGTCGCCATTGCTAATGTGATGGTACCAAAGTACACCAGCGTTTCTTCGGAGGCAACGATGACTAAAAACAGACAATCTCTGGACATCGATCGCTCGAGCGGGCCAGGTCCCACAGCTGTACAGAAGCATTATTCGTACCGAAGCGTTGTAGACCCAACCTTTTAATGAAAGATTGAGACGAGGCCGGCTGCAGAGCTTTCGGAAGTTGGCAAGGGCTACTATGGCTTTGTTGATGCACAAATTTATCTCTTCCATCAATCCACGCAGTCTAATGCAACTCCCGAGTTAAACGAACTTGTCTACTACTTCCAAGGAAGTGCCGGATAGTGTGAGGTTAGGAGCAGTTTCTAAGCAGCCCTGGAAGGAAACATTGTACTTGGAAGTGGCATAAGTCACCCCGAACAGTGACGCAGACAACTCTAACCTGTGCAGCGTTTCTTCGGCAACCTGCGAGGGTCTCAGATTACGGTGATGTCATCAGCCTACTCTAATTCAAGTTGATCCCCTGTGGGCAACTCGACACTACTAGGTCCACTGTTTTTCCAGTGCACTCTCTGAGATATCAGCCATAAATAAGTTGTACATGAATTCTGATGGGTGGCAACGTTGTCTCACTCCGCTGATGAAAATAAATGGAGGCGAAAGTCCTCCGTACACCGGTATTGGGCTCGTGGTTGGACAGTAAATAGATTGAAGTATGTCAGGATACTTCAAATTCTAGCCAGCACCAGCCTCAGCGCACCACTGGCTCCCGCACATACCAAGTTGTTTACAGTTGGCTTCATGCAACCGGAGATTGGATAAGGCAAAAGTTCTGCGGGAATTCCGTGAGGATGCAGTATGTTCCATCTCGATGACATACTGCATTCACCAGGCTTCGTGGTTTTTCCTGAGAAGCTGTTTGTGCTCGGCGTTGGCACCTCTACGCCATGCGTTATACTCAAAATCAGCAGGAATTTTCCAGCAGTCCTCCATCAATTGAAAAGAGCGAGCGGAAATCCATCAGTTGATGGTGTGCGTAGTGAAAATGCACATGATGCTGGCGAGTTAGGGTGGTGCACTCCGGATATCTAGTGCGCTTCAACCTCTGGAAGTTATAGTAGTAGTATATTCACTATCTGATTACCGACAATGTGCCATCCGAACCATGGCGAAATAAAGGAGAAACGAAATACAACCTGTGAAGAAAACCTTTTGACGGTTTTACACACGCCGTTTTGAGACTCATTTATGTGTTTTGGAGTGTTATGATCGATGAAATGTTAACTAATAGATAACACGGTTGAATAGTACTGTCTCCACTGGTACCTGTTGCGCGCCATAGCTTCCAACGTTTCTAACCACTGGCAGTCCGAATCGCGTGGTCCGCATCCTGGAAGGTGGATCGATCCGACCGATGCTAAGCTTGAGCTTGCATTCTTCATGATCCTTCTCCACGTCACTGGTTGTGCACAGTGACACTTTTTCCAGTCGCATCCGAGGAGCGTAAATAACGCTCGACGGGGAAGGCAATAGCAAATCCAGTTTGCTGTCCGATCTGTAGTAAGGTGTGCACGTTGAGGGTTGCTGGTGTGAATTGCATACCAGGTGGAAGTAGCGAGGATAGCAGACTTCCGGGCTGACAGCTCCCTGTCAATAACTGTGTGGTTGCGTTTATGCGTGACAAGAGAACAACTTCACAGCTGAAGACTCACGTAATAATGAGGATGAGTGATACAAGGAAAGAGTATGCGAATTGGTGGCTTGTGTTTGTAAATTTAGCGTAATCGTAGGACATTGGATCATGAGAGCGAGGGAGAGTGTAGTTGTGTGTATCCATGGTTCATCAGTAGGCGAGATACTACGCGGTTACCTACACCGAAGTAGGTGGGTTGTCATAGGGGATCACGGCCCCGAGCCTTTGGCCGAAAGTCCTAACCTACAAGGCAGTAGGGCGAAATAGGGGTTTCGCAACCGTTGGGAGCCGGTGACAATACATTCAGTTCATACACCTTTCGGATGACGAAAAGCCATACCAGGGTCCCAACACACCCGAAGTCAAAGGCAGAATCCCATGGTCAGGTTGCGTTGTCTCAGAGAAGACAAAGAGCAGTGACTTGGTTTAGTTGCGAGTCACATCCGCTACGTCACAATGTTATTAAACGGATATATGTGTCCTTTTATAGGGAGAACGCTTGCTGTGCGTAAACCCACCACGTCCTGGAACACTGCAGCCGAACAATTCGTCGGAAAGGGGAATACCCGAACCGCCCAGCTGTCTCCACCAGGAAGTTATTCGGCAAGTCAGGAATAGAGGACTCTTCAGATTAGAAACTGACTAGTTCTAAAGGGCGCGGGGAATATTTGGAGCGACAAGTTTGGCTACGTCAAGCCGGTTCCGACTACGCTGTTGGGTGCAACCAAAGCGGAGGGCAACTTTAGCAGTCACAAGTGCGTGACCAGATGTAGGATAAATTTGGACGACCGAGTCTGGATTCGGAGAAATAAGCTGGACCTGATTTTTCAGTACAGGGTCATAAACTATCATGTAGACGGATATGATAATGTTAGATACCAAATACACAGCAAAGAAACAAAGGCCATGCATCCGAAGTGTACTGTGAAAAGCAGGGAAGTCGTCTTTTTAACGTGCTGCTCATAGATCTGGAGCTATACACGGCTACACATCGCTTAAATTCAAGCATGCGACTAGGGAGAAACTGACCGTTTGAAACGCGGCTGATATATTTGGGACACTTCTTGAGTGCGTCTCGGATACTACTCTGTAGCGATGAAAAGTAAGAAACGGGTCCAATACTGGTGGTAGAGAAGAAAGATTTAGCAAGACCCAAATTATACTGAACAAGCAAAAGTAATGGAAAGTAACTCAGCAAGGGCGAGGAACAACGCAGCGCTGGACTCACCGAAGAGGAAAGTGTCAAGGGATGTACAGTCAGTAAAACTGGAGGACAGTCAGATAGTAAAAGTACCAATAAAAAAACAGCGTTCTGAAATACGCATGAGTACATACTTCTGCTTTACTACATATCCTAATCCCTGGATAACGCCTATGAGTACGGTGCAAAGGGCACAAGATAAGACTACGGACATTACATGTATTTGGACAAAATGTAAATCTGCATGTCACATTTTGGTCCACAGCCCATTTCGTTTCATTTTCTTCCGACTTAAACACCAGTCATGTTTGTTAAGAATACTGGCTCATAGACAGGTTGAAATATCAGCAAATAATTGCGAGTAATTTGATACTCACATAAACATGAAGCTTGTGCTCATAAGGTTTAGTTTCTTATGCGATAGCATGAGATAATTGTAACTGTTTGGTCTGCTGCTTCCAGGAAAGGGCTGCTCATATTTTGAGGAATATGCGTTTTATTAGTTATTTAGGCAGAGGCGGTTAAGGTAAACAGAACATGTAATTCTTGTCCTTAATTTCGCTTACCTGAAACCATAACACTGAGGCCTTTTATTTAGGTTAGACTCGGCCCATTTGGATATATTTCTGCACGTCATCATCTAGGCGTGCTTTTTGCGTTATTACTCAGCGGTCTTAGGTAAGTGGCATGTATAGTTCTCGTGGCGTTTTATCTACCGTATGCATGCCGAACTGGCCGGCTGATTTCGTCACGTCTGCAGCACAGTGTAATGCTTTGCCGGATTTTGGGGGCAGACAAAGCAGCCGATTTGAACCCTCAAATGCAAATGTGTTAAACGAAGCAAACGAGCAAAATACGGGACCCGATGTCCGATAGCTTGTTTACTTTGTGGCCATCCGTTATAGCTGCTGGATCGTTGAACAACCCCAAGCCTCGGTTTTGCTTTGAAACCACATGGGTTCATGTACTGCTCGGCAGTTTGCAAATTGTGAGCGTGACTCTCGACAAAATGTGAAAAATGCAACTTAAAGTTAACAGATCATCCAGGTAGCTTAGTTCCAGTAAATGGAGAACCAGACAGTGCTCGTCGAGCAGATTCGAAGGAATTTAGGCGAACGGGTGCACTACGGAAGTTGAGATAATAGCTGCCGACGTAGTGCGAGGGAAAAAAGAATGCGACCACACACGGCCTAGCCCGGGCTCGGGAAGGTGGATCAACACATTGTTGAGTGTTGTTGTTAAGCCTTTTGATAGTGAGCATTGCCTTCTAGTGTCTAACCCATATTTCGCCGAATTTAGTTCATTGGTTTTCGTGCTTGTATCTGTGTCATCTGGTCAATCTGCATTGGGAGTCAAAAGTTCAGTCCGTCGTATACGGCAGTCGCTTTCACAGTGTGAGTCGCACAACGATGATGGTGTGTAGTTGGTGATCGCTCTTGCTTTTGCTTTTTACTAGCTCACTATCATAATTAAGACTGCGTTTCATTACACGGGTGCAATTGTTGGGCTATGCTTAGTTGTTTGCATTGTTCATCCTGGGACAATAAGTTAACGCGGGGAAAAATATAAACGTACAACGGTTTTTGTAGGTAAAATGTGAAACCATAAATAAAACGTTGCTTTCCGGTTGACTCCTCGCAATTTTCACGTGTAACCACCATTTGGTTACGCTTTGCTATGTCTCAGTAGTTTGTGATAAGTCATATGATGCAAATGGTGTCGTGTTCTAAATGATATATATAACTACACTGCTGTTGATATATATATATATATATATATATATATATATATATATATATATAATGGCTGATCCGCAGCCCTCGTTTAACTCTTTTGTATATTCATTGCTCATCTCCATTTTTGAAGCAAAGGTTAATTGCGACTCCTTTTCCGTCCAGGAAGTCGGATGGACCTTATAATGCGCCATTTGATATTGTGGAACAGGAAGACATTGCCACTTCTCGCTCAAGAAGATCCTCTGACTGCGTCACGGATGAGCATGAAGGTTAATCGGTCAACCTCTTTTTCTGTACGCATTAAATGAATAGAAAGCCAGCTGTCGCACACTGAATTGCAGCTCGCGTCTGGCTCATGTATCAATGACTGCATCCGCTTTACAATGCATTTTCCTTATTGAGTTTGACCAGCATGCGTTCACGGTCAATTTGATTTAACTAACCATAGTCGTGGTAACGAGGATTCAAACCGCAGTGATCGGAGGATCGCTTGTCGGGCTTTCCTTTCTGTGTAACTTCAGACAGCTGTAGGACGTTCAAGCACGTTGGGAGACTATACGGGGCATGCACAGCACCATTCACACAGCGTACACCAGATGAACGAAACTGGAGGGGTAAGCAATTAGGTCTTTTGTAAGCACAGAATCACAAACCAACAGCATATAAGACACCTGAAGGTAGAGGAACTCGAGTGACAATACCCCAGTGTTAAAACGTGGGCTAGTCGAAAGAAAGTGTAATAAAGGATAAACATGTCCATTACATGAACAATTGTTTTACGCTTGATTACTATCAACCACACGACACACCGGTTATTACTTCGAGCCTACTTCTGTCATGAGAAGTATACACTCGGTCTCCTTCAACTAGTGTCTATTTTCTGTAGACGATTACCAAATTTGTGAATAGGTTGGTTTGGAACGTTATCAGCTTTTAATTTGTTTGTTCCCAAACGTGACGTTTTGTGCCACCATGGATGTCAGGAATATGATAGCACACATATTGTCTAGTATAATCTCAGCTCAAATGACATGATTTGAAATCGGGTGTGCGCCACCAGGCCCGGTGACGGGGTGTGTTATTGACTGGCGCTGTAAACAGTGCTCTCCTTCCGCACTAGCATTAACCGAAACAGCTTAGTTGAACTGTGTCATTCTATATATATATATATATATATATATATATATATATATATATATATATATATATATATGATTGAGCTCTTTTTATGAGTTGATTTATTTGAAATCGAGGAATCGACATGCTTGTTTGCATTGCTTCCACTGCGTCCAGATTTGCACTATTGCATCCAGCGGTGTAAGCCACTGGTATTCTTCACACTTGGGCCCCTAACCGCGAAATGTACTTCTCCAGCTATGGCTGGGCAAGATGCCGATGTTTTCTTGCGGTCGCCAAATGATCAGTTAACCTCCACAAGCCAAAATATCTGGTGCGGCGCGGTAAGCGCTCGTTAAGCATACTTAGGTCTTGTCCAGCCCATTTCAATTGTTGTAGCAAAACAACCACACAGAGCGGTGTCTGGTATCCTCATTGCGCGCTGGATGTTACCACATACACAGGCAATCCTTCGCAGAGAGTGACTGACAAAGGCTGGAATCCTGCGTATGTCACCTGGCCGGATGGGTCAGGATTCGCATCAGCAAACTAGTACGGTATGAATCCTGGTATTGTAGACCCTGCATCCATAAAAAGTATTTTACTGCTACCATCTACTGACACTTTTCCACCAGGTTTTATTCAGTTTACCAAGACAAGAAATGCGGCTAGTCTTTGCAATTAGTCAAATATCGTAGAACAACGAGGAATAACTGTTTGTCAAGCTCGGAAGAAACTAGCGTTTGATAGCTCTGAAATGTATTGGTGGATACTTCAGAAAAAATAACTGATGTCGGCAGAATGAACCAAGCCTTGGTGAACTGAGCATAGAGTTCGCCTGAGACCACCAGTTGTTCGTGTTAACATTTGAAAAATGAATTTATTCGAATTAAGCACTGTCTTACAAGCCACGTTGGGTAATCGGTTGGGTTTATGGAAAAAGTGGATAAAAGCAGTTAGTAGTTTATGTATGAAAACAAGGACCTACCGTTTGTTAAACGCTAATCCTGCAATCCTCGTGTTTTCATAGCTCTGATAAACAACACATAATAAAGCCAAGAGATTTCCCCTGAGCAGGACGGAGACATAGCGCTATGAAATAGCATGTAAGCGGATGAGTGTGTTGACTGAATGTCTCTTAAAAATGGCTAGTATTAGTGCAGAAACGACCGATTCAGGAAGTGCATCTCACGGGTGACACGCGAGTAGGAATGAAATTGCTGCGGCACCCCAGACGGCTGTACTGTTCTGCCGGATTCATGGAGTGAATTATCAGGTTTGTATTACTGTAGAGTTACAGCAAGTGGCGGCACACATTTGGCGGCACTTACAGAATCAAGTAGGCAATTTTCAGACCGCCTAGTAATCGGTGATGCAGTCCGCTGAATACTCCCAAACCTTTCAACCTCTCCCTGTATGGGTGATTGCGCTTTCCAATACCATACTAGAATGCTAGAAGTTCAGGCTGTTGCAGTGCATAAAACTTGTGTTATATCCATGTCTGCCAAGCTGGAATTGCTCATTCGACCTTTGGGCGAAAATACGCACTTTACATTGGATGGAAAATAGGAATGTCTATTTGTCCGAACGTCCGTCCCAACAGCCCGAAGTGCTGGTTACCAGCTTTCGATGTGTTATCGGACTACCTGGAATAACTCAGGTCATCCTAAAGCAGCAAGCCCAGGTCACGTCCGACGGAAGATAGCTGTAGTACATGCGTCCCGAACCTGTATGAGTGGTTGATCTGGTGTATAGGGAGTACCTTGCATTTACTCATATTGACTTGCGGTAACTTTTGGATTGACCACTGTTGCACCGTTTCTAAATCAACCCGAAACAGATGCTGGTCAGCATTCACTTTTAGCCTACGCCAAATACTGATGTCGTTGGCAAACGATAGAAAACTTGTAGTGGCTGTCTGTGCGATGTCATTATTAAAAACGGAAAACAATCGTGGCTAATGAACTTTGCATTGTGGCACATCACACTCAACTTGTACGAGGTCAGATAAGGAGCTCCAAACGCTAGCCACTAATAGCCATTGAATGAGAAAGTTGACGAAGCAGCTTAGAAGAGGTTCCCTGATGCCGTAATACTGGAGCTTGGAAGAGGGTATCCGATGATCTAGACCAGGTATTCTCAACCCTTATTCGGCCATGGCACCTTATTGTGCCAGTAGAAGATTCCCAAAAGTCCTATCCTCTGCTGCCTTCCTACCGCTCTCTGCTTCATGGTTGTGGTTCTCTTTACCGCTTTCCCAACTCCTTTCTCTGTCCCAACCGGTCTTTGCTATCTGCCTATCAATGAAGATTGTGTTCCGTGTCAAGTTAATTAAGTTTATTTGAACTTTAAACACATAGATGACCGGAAGTCAACGTGCATGCATGGACCAATATTTCCAACTTCTGAACAGACCTAATTGTGGCTTCATGTGGCTGCGCCTCATCTTATCAGTTTGTGATGTTCCGTTTTAACACCCTCGCCGTCGCCTTCGGATACTGGCGAGCAAGACATTCTTCACATCGCATGTGAACTGACGGTGTTGCGAAATCATGTGAGTAGAGTTCACGTACATGAAAGCACCTCGTGCGTGAAGACAAGTGTAAATGTTACTCCATGTGCAATTGAATCCCCATCACTGTGTGTCTGTGTGTGTAAGGCACTGGCCGAAAGCCCACGTTGCATGGCAACCTACCTTTTCGATTGGTCATGTGTAAGCCTGTTAAAGCCAGAGTACATTGAGAGGAGCTTATTCTGCGTGCTTGAGGCTCAGGTTGCTGGCTACATTGGATTGTTTTCATTGTCTGATACGCCTGTGCTGAAAGCCTAGATTATTGAAGTATTGCACACAGCTTTTTAATTATTTGTAATAGTACCGTATTCTAGTTCCGGTCTTGTTCTGTAACCAACTGCGGCCGGTTTTCGGTTTGAGGTTTAGTATGCATACCAAATGCTCCCAGTTGTTTCCCGCCTCATAAATCGACAGCATGCTGCTCTGTACCTCCGCTGACTGGCGTGTACGGGTGCATTTTTGTTCCACTCTGAGTACAGCGAGCTGGAACTCACCCATCTGCTTTACCTATATATGTGTTTGCGCAAGCTTTGTAATTTAGGATCGCGCTGAACCGGCCAACGACCTCAGGATAACTCTACTTCCAGTTCCTTCCAAGGTCATGTAATCCTCTATTACAGAGGCCATCATGGGATACTTGGAAAAATGCAATTTCATCGTACCGGAGCAACACGGTTTCCACTGAAACCACTCATGTACCACGAACCACTTGTTAGCCCGTGCCAAATGGACTGAATCTGTCTATCCTGAGGAGGGATTTGATGCTGTGTACCTCGATTTATAGAAAGCATTTGCTTAACTTGATCACAACATCCAATTTTAAATGCATAGATTTGGTTTTGTCAACCTGATGCATACCGCTTCAGCGGTAGCAAGTAGCTGAACCCCTGACAGATAGTGTAGTTGCAGTGACACTCGATAGAGGATCTCAAATGAGTTGTGCTTATCAATTAGGTGACTGGTGCAGATCAGATGGTTAGTTATGGTACTCAACCTAGTTTTGTACTGTTGGGTTGTAAGCGGACTTCAGTTAGACAGCAAACGTCGATTGAAAGGGTTTCCAAGGTGTGCGCAAGAGCAGCTTGTGAACCAACCTGCACAAGCGTCCGAACATTGAATGTAGCTAGCGGGGTGCAATAATAGTCTTGCTGTTGGTAATGGAATGTGTGCGATCGGTTTTCAGCGGTTTCTTGATGAGGCCAAATTTACCGCTTTTATTTGCAATGTAATTTGGGAGGCTCGAAATTGGTGAGGGGTTACCCAGAACAGGAGGGTTGAATAAAGGTGGAACGAAGAACATGGTTTGCGGTGCGGTAGAGTGAGGTTTAGCAGGCCCGGACGCCAGAGGTTTTGCCAGAAATGGCCAACCTTTGGAAAACAAAGGAAGGTACAGATTTCTTGAAAAGGATAACAAACTAAACAAACTTGTCCATAAGGTAGTTTGAGATCAAGATTTTGTGTTCGACACGAAAGCTACTTCAGGCCAAACGAACGAGGGGGACAATAATTGTGGTTATCGAGATGGCAGCAGGATGTTAACCAACTTACAGTTTAAAGTGTCATTTTAAGTGGCACATTAGG